TGCCTGAGAAACAAGTAACCAACAGTCTGCATGTAAATGAGTCAGACCTGTGAAACGCATGCGCACACAACACTCAGGTTATGGAACAGGACTAGAGTTCAGAATTGGACGAACAACCAGCTATTCTTGTTGGAGTTTACAGCTGGTTAACTTGAAGAAGATGAAAAATGTTGAATTAAGAACGACATCTCAGCATTTGGGACTCTTCCATAAGCGCCAGCAACTGTTTGATTGTATAACCATCTCGCCTTCACTTTGAGTGTTGAGCATCGGCCAGATCCCCTAGTAACTCCTCACAGCGCCATTCTTCTACTACCGACAAGACTTCAACCTGGCTGTTTCCAGATACTGAGCTAAGTGATTTTGTGTATTTGTGTGGTATTGTTTTAATTATGTATGTGCTGATGAAGGCTCCATAGGCGCAACACTCACGTTTTGTTTTGTGTTTGTTATATTGTGAAGCTTGCTGATACTTTTCAGCCGGTTTTATATCTTGCCATTCTCCTCAGACGGTAATGATCTATTTGTACCTCTGCAAAAAGCGCTGAAGCCAGGGCTCCCTTTCACGGTTTCTAGAATTCGTCCTGGACTCTCACTCAATCACAGAAGAAAAAGATTTGAGCTTTTGAATTAAAATGTTACAAAAAAATTATCAGAATACAGTGGATCAAGAAGAGGAAAAACATCAACATTCTACATGAGTTAAACATCAAGGAGAACTGGCTCAAAAACAGCGGCCTGTCCCGAAAGTATTTTGGCCACATCAAACGTCATTGTGGCTTGGAAAAGACGGCGATGGAGGGTACAGTTTGTGGAGAGCAAGGCAGGGGTCGACCACCGCGAAGATNGGAAGGATAATATCAGAGAAAACTCTACAACAGCACGATGTGCCTATGGTCGAGGCGGCCAGAAGAGCTAGAAACAGAACCTTATATCTCCCTCGACACCCACAGCGGTAAAAGAGGAAGTGAAGAAGAAGAAGAAAAAGAAGAAGATTCATTTATTTGTATTGATTCTAGTCTGTCATGCTTATTATGAAAAGCCCATATCCTTGTGTGGGTTCTGGTGTCCCATTTTGGGGGGAAAAGTATAGACCCACTGTCTCCCTAACAAGCATGTCATAAAAGGCAACTGATTAGGGGTTCTCCATCCCCCCCCCCCCCCCCCCCTCCACCTCTCATTTTGGAGCACATCTGCCTGAAAGGCAAGGAGCCAACAGTCAGCTTAAGGTAAGCGAGCTATAAAATTAATGTGAGTGGAAAATTTATGTTGTGGAAAAAGTCTAAAGTTAGAAGTGGATGAAAACCTGAACTTTTTTGCTAGAGTTTTTGCAACAGGTGAATGTTTAGAAGAAGGACAACACATAGATGAACGAGAAAGATATTTTATAGAAATGTGATGGGGACACCATGGGCAGAAAAATATGTAAGGAAAATGTAAAATAAAGTAAAGTAACTCATATAACTAAAACTGATTACTTGTAGCAGAACCTGACAATCCATTTTTCCTTGTGTATGTCATGATAAGGCGAAAACGGTAGTATATTATGACAGTAGTAAATTTGGTGGTGGGTGGCTAGAGACAGTGGAGTGGAGAAATATTATCAGTAGAATTGACCCAGAACATTATAAATGCCTACGCCAGCTGGCAAGGCACTTGTTGATGATGATGAGTAAATTTGGAGGGCAAGAGAGGTACAGGAAGACCAAGAGAAGGATGGAAAGTAATGGCGAGAATCAAGTGTTGACTGTGTATCTCCAGCTACTACCAGTGTACGTGAAAGAGGCTGAGGTCAGATAAGGGCACTATACAGGGAGTCAAAGAAAAATAATAACACAGAATTGTTGTAGAATATTAAATGTTGAATTAAGAATGGATATCGTAGCACTTGGGACACTCCCATTAGTGCTCCATCCTCAGCAGCAAGCAAAGAGTTCCGATTCCGATGGTACCAGTAACTGTCTGTTTGTACATCTGTCTCGCCATTCCTCTGAGTGTTGAGCGTCGGCCAGATACCCTGGTAACTCCTCGCAGCGCCATTCTTCTCAGACCATAATGATCTGTGTGTGCCTCCGCACTGTTCACTCGCTCGAAAAAGGTCCTCACAACATCCAGCTTGTCATACATCAATTCAACATAAAGAACCGCCCAGTTTGTCATTCATCAATTCAACATAAAGAACCACCCAGTTTGTCATACATCAATTCAACATAAAGAACCGCCCAGTTTGTCATACATCAATTCAACATAAAGAACCGCCCAGTTTGTCATACATCAATTCAACATAAAGAACCGCCCAGTTTGTCATACATCAATTCAACATAAAGAACCGCCCAGTTTGTCATACATCAATTCAACATAAAGAACCGCCCAGTTTGTCTACTCATTTTCCAACACACCAGCAAAAACTGTTGTAATCAGCCAGTACATGCTATGGGATTTACTGAGGAGGCGATCAGAGCACCTGTAGACTGAATGGCTCAATATTCTATGAGGATGACCTGCCGACTAGCTAACAAGTGAAAGATGGTGTTGGTTTGGCATAGTATGAGCATACGGAAACATCTGTGTCAGAACCAGCCCCCCCCCCTTTTTTTCCACCCCACACCACAAAGTTATCTAAAAACTTGAGAGTACTCGCCACAAAGTGAGCTGTAAAAACATGCAGACAAAAAAAAAAAAACGTTATGTCTAGAAAAAGGTGCAGGTACCGTGTACCGCCAGAAAATAATCCTGATTAGAAATGATTGTCAGAAACGATACAAAGCTGAGGATAGACATGGTAATCCACAGCATATCATATGAATGAATGGATCAAGAATTGAAATCACTATATTTGGGACATTCCTATATGCGCTCCATCCCCAGTAGCCAAAGAAGAGTGCTCATACCTAGAGTGCCACTGGCAACCTGATTTAAAGTTTGCCTGTTTTCCCCTCTTGTAAAGTAAAGGACCCTTTTCCTCTTCTGACATCTCACGCAGGAGTCAGGGTTCGAATCCTAGGTAAGACTGGATTTTTTCTGTCGGGGGCAAAATAAAACTCCTTACCTGCACAGTCGCGACGACAGCACTAGCCATGCGGCCGTAAATCCCTAGGCACAAAAGTCCCCCTTCCCCCCACCCTCCCCCTGCCTACGTGACACAAACTGTATAACTAAGGCAGTAACTGGTATTAGGTAGAAAGCTGGGTGGATCTTTGAGCCAAGGTAATTTTTGGAACGCAACACTCAGGTTCTTGAACAGGACTAGAGTCACCTGAAATTTCCGCTAGAGTTTACAGCCAGTGAACTCGAAGAAGATGAAAAATGTTAAATAAAGAACGACATCACAGCATTCGGGACTCTTCCATAAGCGCCCCGTACCCCATTCTCATAATGCTTCAAGTCACAGTGGACGCTAGGCACGGCCACTTTAGCCGTGGCAGTTCTGCCAGGCGGTGGCCGTTGCATTTTTGCTCCATTTGTAGACTGGAAGGATATGGTTTCGTCACCCAGCTTCTGAGTTGAGTGCATGGTGTGACACTGTGAGCTACGAGTGTTTTTCGTTGGCACAGGAGCGGAGCAACAATGGGGTGACCCGTTTGCTATGATGCTGAAACTAAGATTACCAGATTACCAGATTCTCATAAGCGCCAGCAACTGTTTGATTGTATAACTGTCTCGCCTTCACTTTGAGTGTTGATCATCGGCCAGATCCCCTGGTATCTCCTCACAGCGCCATTCTTCTGCTACCGACAAGACATCAACCTGGCTGCTTCCAGATACTGAGCTAAGTGATTTTGTGTATTTGTGTGGTATTGTTTTAGTTATGTATGTGCTGATGAAGGCTCTATATGCACAACGCTCATGTTTTGTTTTGTGTGTGTTATTTTGTGAAACTTGCTGATATACTTTCCGGTCGGTTTTATATCTTTCTTGCCATTCTCCTCAGACCGTAATGATCTATTTGTACCTCCGCAAAAAGCGCCGGTCCAGGGCTCCCTTTTACGATTTCTAGAATTCGTCCTGGACTCTCACTGAATCACATAAGAAAAAGATTTGAGCTTTTGAATTAAAATGTTACAAAAAAATTCTCAGAATCAAGAAGAGGAAAAACATCAACATTCTACATGAGTTAAACATCAAGGAGAACTGGCTCAAAAACAGCGGCCTGTCCCGAAAGTATTTTGGCCACATCAAACGTCATGGGGGCTTGGAAAAGACGGCGATGGAGGGTGAAGTTTGTGAAATACGAGGCAGGGGTCGACCTATGCGAAGTTGGATACAGGACATTGAAGATGCGTTGCCATTGAAAGCACATGGGAGCTGGCTAGGGAAAAGGATACTTTCAGGCGTGCCGTGAAGATAGCCACGTTCTATAAAGGACTTGCTGATTGATGATGATGAGGATTTGTTATTCATTGAGCGGCTGGCCGAGTGGTTACAACTTCGGGCTCTCGTGCGCGAATTCGACCCCCGGAAAGATGATGGAGTCAGAAAATATCGGGGGCAAAATTAAACATCCTTATCTGCACAGTTCTTGGCAACAGCCCTAGCCAGGCGGTCCTAAATCCTCAAGCTCAAGGCCTTCCTGTTTACACCACCCTAAAAAGTGAAGAAAAAAAAAACAGTAGTGACAGTTTAAAGTATTTAGTTTACACGTTTCGTATTTCAGATATAGTAGGAAGGGAAAAGTGGGCTGGTGGAAATGACAACCCCCCCCCCCCCGCCCCACAAAAAAAAAACGTTCCATGTTATCTTTGAGGCGGCGCGCCTGCTCGCAGAATAGTGGTGGATTTTTACGTTTACAAGACGTCGTGGAGTATAATTTATTGGACCAAAACCAAAGGAAAATACCAAAACAAAGAATTGTTATTTTAAACGAACGCCGAACTGATCCATGCAATTTTTGTGTGCGTGTGTGTGTTAAAATATAGACGTAAACATGAAATAGAAAAATAATAATAAAAAAATAAGAGCTGAGAAATGATGGTAGTAGACATCGTGTTAGAACTTTGAAGATGACTATCTCTCGCTTTTTGACACTTAATACGGGATTCAAAATTCCTACGATAGGTAAGTCGTAATTTCATCTATTAGTATTCATTCGTCATGATCATCATGTCTGTTGTTCACTATATTCTTCTATTGTATGAGTATATGAATATGATATGTTTGTTATCGGATTAAAAAACAACAAAATTATTTAGGCTCAGCTGACACAACAAGGGGGATACAGATAAATGTATTTTTTAAATACACACCGTGGACGCGCGTACAGTTGTTGAAATCAGTACAAAGTTGCTATCTGCAAAATCACTTGCAGAATGAGCCCGACGTGTTGGTGTTGGAATTAAGAAAGCTGGTCGCCACAAATAATCATAGTTAAAATAGTTAACCTTTAGAATTGCCGCCGTATAGAGGCTCACCTGCGGATTGGAAACTGAACTGCAAGACCATATAGTTCATATACATTATTTAAACCAAACTTGCAAAGAGCATAACATGTAAATTGACGCCAAAAGAAACAGAGGTCATGATCATAGGCAAAGTAGACAAAACAATAAATATCCAGCTAACAGAACAACCTCTGAAACAAACCATAAACTTCACATACTTAGGAAGCATAATATCAGCAGCTGAAAAAACAGAAGATGAGATCGATGACTGATGTAACAAAGCAAACCAAATCATGGTCAAAGAGCACTACTAAGAACCAAACATGAATCAATAAGAACCAGAAAGCACTCTGTAGCATGATCTTCTTGCCCACCCTGTGTTATCAATGCCAGAACTGGACAATGACAGAAAAAGAGAAAAGAAAAATTACAACTGAAATGACAAGAAGAGATCAAATCAGAAATGATGACATCTGAAGGAAAATGGGGTTGGCAGCAGCTCTGAATTTCATTAGAAGGCAACAGGTGAAATGGTTTGGCCATGTAACGCAGATGGTAGCAGACAGTAAACCACAGCAGGCAAGAAGAAGAGAGCCTACCATAAAAAGCGATGGACAGAGGGAATTAAAGAGTCTATGGTAATACAAATTTATGAAGTGCAGAAATGGACTCTTTTTCCTGGAAATTATGCTTCACCTCACACTGCAAGATACAAGTGGATCATGATGAGCTGAGATGAGAAAGAGTTTATAGTGAGGCTTTTTTTGTCTGGTGTTAAACAAAGGTACCTTTTTAGTCATTACAGTCTGAGGAGAATGGCACTGCGAGGAGTTACAAGGAGATCTGGTCGACACTCATGGAAAAGGCGAGACGGATATACAGTCAGACAGTTGCTGGTACCATAGGAATTTTAACTCTTCAATTTTTGTTGAAGATTTGGATGGAGCACTTAGGGTGTGTCCCAAGTGATGTGATGTCGATTCTCAATTCAACGTGTGTACAGCTGCTTCTAAAGCAAGCGGAAGGCAGAAGTGACTGCCTCCACCTCCATTCTCAAATTAGACATTGTGATCATACAGTTAAAATAAGGATATGCAAGTGAAAGGGATGTCTTTTTTCACCACTATCATTTTTACTTGCAAAAACAGAATCTTGAAGGCAGCAACATTTACCACTAGAAATGGAATTCAGTGGACCCCAACAAAACATCTTGATGATCTTGACTTCGCTGATAATAGTGTTTACTCTTGCTTGATGTATGAATGAAAGGAGGGAGACTAGAAGGGCAGAATGTTAGACGGGTCTGCGTGCCCAATTCTTAACCCTTTCAAAATAAAGTTTGCCTGGTCATTTGTCGTACGTTAATTTACTCCTATCACACTCACAAAATCAGATGCAGTAATTATGTACACACAATTTAAGATTGACTAATCAGCCATGTGTATATGTGCATTGTCACCATAGACAACAGATCACATCCTCTAAGACTGTTTCAAGTCTCTGACCAAAAATGTCAAATTGGGAGGCTTTAATCGTTTTTTTTTTTCTTTTTTATATCTTTGTGTTGAACCGCAGTTTTTCTTCTTTCTATGTATGGAGCCACCTTTAGCAAAGGTTATGTAATTAAAATATCAGAAAAATATGGTTTATAATGTCGTTAATCACAACTACTGGGGGGCAGCGTTAGCAAAGTCGATAGGGGACTCGCTTTCAAATCAATCGGCGACTCGCTGTAGCCCACGGCCGGTGTTCGAAACTGGGCGGTTCCCGGGGTTCATCCAACCTCTAGGAAATGGTTACCAGAGTTAACACTCTGGGGTAAATGGAGGAGCATCGCTGTACCTAGGGAGTTGCGTGCGGACAGCGACACAGGCGGACAGTTTCTTATTAGTTGTCTATACTGGTGGCAGAACACTTATGGTTTATAACCGTGTGCAATGATGCTGGTTCACATCACCCGACTTGACCTTTTACTACTACTGATTTCCAAAACAATCTCCACAGGTGTTTCGATTACTGTATATTTTTTAAAAGGGTGATTAGTGCTTAGAAAGGATTATCATCACAGCACTCCGGACAGATCCATAGGTGCTCTGATCTCCTCCTTAAAAGCTCCACAAGTAAGGGGTATAGAAGTCAGACAAAGATCAAATACATTTGCCGCTTTAAGAACACAGCAGATCTGTGCATGTGTACATTATAAAGCCATAAGGACGTGTGTACCCCCCTCGTACTATCTGCCACTGCGAGACACACTAAAACGTTACAACGGGTATAGAGCCAGTGGAAGACCTCGGAAAATATGGAGGGACGGCATTAAGAACAACATTACAGAAATTAACATCAGTCTTAACAGTGCTCTTGACAGAGCTCGTCAACGAATGTTTCATCTCCCCCTCTACACTTCGCTGAGGTACAAGGTGGAAGAGAAGAGGAAGATGAGCAATCTAACGCCACGTGCATAAATTCATGTTGATCTGTAGTACAAATTCGAGATATTTGTTAAAGTGTAAGGGCATGAATTTTGAAACGCACTCTAGTTGCGTGTCCTTCACAGCAGGCATGTCAGACTGGCGTTTCGCGGGCAGCATGCGGCCCTTTACAAGCACACGTAGACCCCTACAAAACATCTTGATGATCTGGACTTCGCTGATGATATTTCTCTTCTGTCTCATTGACGGAATCAGATGCAAGATAAATTAAATATACTAGATGCGAGATCACAGCAGCTTGGTCTGAAAATCCATAAAGGAAAGACAAAGATAATGAGAATAAATCAGGCAAATAGTAATGTGGTTTCCCTTAATGGCACCCCACTCCAAGACGTGGAATCGTACACCTATTTGGCCAGTAATGTAGATAAAGATGGAGGAACTAATAGAGATATTAAAATAAGAATACAAAAGGCAAGAGGGCTTTCATAGCACTATGGAATTTGTGGAGGTCAAAAGAAATTAAAAGAAATACTAAACTAAAAATGTTTCACTCTAATGTCAAATCAGTACTTTTGTATTGGGCGGAAACATGGAGAACACCTAAGGCAATTACTAATAAACTACAAACATTCATTAACTGGTGCCTGCGCAGAATAGAAGGAATTAAATGGTATGATAGAATAACTAATGTAGAGCTTTGGAAGAGAACTAAACAGGCTCCATTGGACCTAGGGGTGAGGAAAAGACGCTGGCGATGGATAGGACACAACTGAGAAAACAGGAAAACAGCATAACTAGAATGTCTTTGCATTGGAACCCACAGGGGCATAGGAATAAAGGAAGGGAAAAACACATGGAGAAGAGAGCTGGAGAATGAAGTTAGAAAGATGGGGAGAGCTCCATGCAATAGCGAAGGATAGAACGACTTGGCGTGAGTTCGTTGAGGGCCTATGCTCCATTGGGGGATAGAAAGGCGGAAGAAGAAGAATTAGTTCCTCATGACGACAGAATTTAACCCGAATCGCCGTCAGCGTACCCTCAGCTTGACATGCCTGCTTTACAGGGGCGTTGCCCGAACTAACCCCAGCATTTTATGGCTGTCTGATTTCGCTGAGCAGTTTTACGTTCAGTCGATCGCCGTTGCTGCTTACTCAACGATCGGCTGTCGATACCACGGTTAAAACCAACGCAAGGCGATCTGCTGCCAAATCGCCGACAGCTGAGATCTAACCGGGCACCCCGGAATCGCAAATCGCGTTGGCAACGCCCAAGCCACAGAGGGCGACCGGTGGGACATTAATGTCGGTTAAATGTCTAGTTCCGCATTCTGACGTACACAAGTAAAAGTAAGGGATAAAAGTAAAGGATCCTGACTGCATCACTGGCTCTTCAGGCAAACGAGGGTAGACTCTATATGGTATAGACCAGTGGCCAGCGCGGTGGGTGATGCGGATGCATATCACAACGACCGCCTTTACTTCCCATTACATTACCTCAAACCCTTTTTAGGCGGGATTTCTGACATACTGGTTCTCAGCCCCCCCCCCCTTCTAAGATGTACCCGTTTACGACATTCTTTTTCTTGTGCCGTCCTCTTTTGTATTCTTTTTTTTCTTCACAGAATTATCCACACGGAGAGTTCTTCTTGCTTCTACTTCTCTTCTTCTTTCCTCCTCCTCCTTCTTCTTTCTCCTCCTCTTCTTGTTCTTCTTCTTCTTCTTCTTCTTCTTCTTCTTCTTCTTCTTCTTCTTCTTCTTCTTCTTCTTCTTCTTCTTCTTCTTCTTCTTCTTCTTTTTTTTCTTCTTCGTTCGCCAATTAAAAATAAAATTCGGTTTATACGACTGCTATAGGTGTATTTGCGCCTTCACGCGTGAAAAATTATTATTTCATCAAACTCCTTTAAAAAAATCGCCATTTTACGAAATATTTTTACTTTTGTTTTCTCCCAAAATGGGGCCCAATACGGTGAACATAGCCATTGTATTTCATTGTTCTGTTTCCCCCCAGTTATTGCTAAAAACAGATTGAATAAGTTCATTCATATACTGTTTCTTATTCTCGACACAGGTTTTGGAACATACAATCTAAAGAAGGAAGCACTGAAAGAAGCATTAGATTATGCATTGTTCGTGGGCTATCGTCATATAGACACAGCAGTTGTCTATGGCAACGAAGAAGAGATCGGCCAAGTCATCGATGACAGACAGCGAGCAGGGAAGTTGAATCGCAAAGATCTGTTTATTACAACCAAGGTACCCAACACCTGTATGAAAAGCCAGGCCGTACTAGAAAGCACACAGCATTCGCTGCACAACCTAAGAACTAACTATGTAGACTTGATGTTGATTCACCACCCATGGGCGTGTACCAAGAAGGAACAGGGCGTCGTGACATTCGAACGCGTAGATTTATTAGAGACTTGGAACGCTCTTGTGGCGCTCTCTAAAGGAGGGCAGGCTTGCAGTATTGGCGTGTCCAACTTTACCATACAGCAACTAGAACGTATTGTATCGGGATCCGGCGTTTCCCCGGCCTGTGTTCAGCTAGAGTGCCACGCCTATCTTCAACAGCGACGACTAAAAGCGTATTGTGATTCGAAGAACATCGTGGTATCTGCTTATGCCCCGTTGGGTTCACCAAACCGGCCCAAACATCACGTGCAAAGCAGTGAAAACCTCCTCAATGACCCCGTCATTGTGGAAATTGCGCAAAGGTACAGAAAAACACCTGCGCAGATTTTACTGAATTTTCTGCTGCGACAGGGGTTTGTGGTTTTACCCAAAAGTGGAAATCAAGCCAGAATTAAAGATAATTTCGCGTCCTCGAACTTCAACATCACACCTCAAGACTTTGATGAGATTGTGACTTTAGACAGAGGCTTGAGATTTTTTAGGTTTCTTTACATGAAGGGTCATCCTGAGTACTTTGAAGATGAGGATTTTTGATGTAACAGCCACTTGAAGTTGTGGTGGTCTTGTTCTAGTAATTTGTGTGTGCAAAGTTCATCAATTTAGAGGAAATGAAAAGTTCTGTTACAACAGTGGTTCTCAACCTTCCTAATGCCGCGACCATTTAGTACAGTTCCTCATGTTGTGGCGACCTCCTTAGCCATAAAATTATTTTCGTTGCTACTTCATAACATCAGTGAATATGTGTTTTTCGATGGTCAGGCGACCCCTGGGAAATAGTCGTTCGAATCCACAACAGGGTCGCGACCAATAGGTTGAGAACCACTGTGTTAGAATAACGTTTGTACAATTTTGAGATCGAACTAAAGAAATCCCAGTGAGTCCGGAGCTGAGGAAAAGAAGCTGTCTTTGGATTTGACACACGTTGAGAAAACCTGACAATATAAATAGAATGTCTTTGCGCTGAAACTCACAGGGTTAAACATAATAAAGGCAAACAAAAACATTTAGAAGTGAACTAGAGAGGGGAGTTAAGAAGGCATTTAGGATATGGGGAGAGATGCATGCGTTAGCAAAGGATAGGATGACGGTGTCAGTTGGTTGAGAGCCTACGCTCCACTGTGCGAAAATGAACAGAAAAAGAGATATATTGTTTTAGATGATGTCTCATCCTAATTTGTGTTGGTAATTGTTATAATTATTATTTTACTAATGTTAGGATTGTAAATGTTGAGAATATTTCTCTAACTAATGTATATTTCTAAATGTTAAATTTCGCCTCTAAAAATAAAGGACCCTTTTCCCCGCCTTTAGGCGTATAGGGCTAGACCTATATTTTATAGACACAACAAGATGGATGATGTGGTCAGTATCACGCCTGCCGCCTTTACTTCCTGGGACTGCACCCGTTACCCACTCAATTACTGGGAGCCAAGGTCGTTTAAAAAAAAAAAGTCCAGCTTCCCCAGGGGGCGCACCCACGACCTTCCGATTCGCGGCGAGCGTCTGGCCGCTCCGCCACGGCGACTAATCACGCCTCTGCCTTAAGTTATCTTTGCCATTGATTAATTATGTATGTTCCCGTTGTTATGTTTGTAAAGAATGATTGCTAAATTTACCTTAAGCAAAAGACTGAAGTTAATTGGCCTTGCCTTTGAGGTCGAACTTGCCTAAAATATCATGAGAAGGAAGACAAAGGGATGGGCCGGCGTGATGTTAACCACATCACAAATTAAGTGCCACGCGGTCTTAAATGGGAGCCTGGCATTATTTGAGGGGTAAGGGATCGGGCCTCCTTGGCGAAGTGGTCAGACCGTTTGCCTTGCGCTTTGAAGATCTTGGAATTGCTTCCTGGCGGAGTCATTCCTTTCACGAGTGCAATTTTTATGGAGACCCCAGGAGATTGTTGTCGGAGCTGCGGTAGTTTGTGCTTTATGGGAGTCAAGCCATGTTGCGGAATGAGGCCGAGCCATATGGAATAAAAACCGGGTAAAATGAAATTGATCCCCTTGACTTTAAACTGTTTTGTTTGTTTCTTAGATACAAGTAGTGAGGTTACTATTTCAGAAAATCTGTAGTCATTTGTTTTAATATATGTAAAACAAAAACAAAAAGAAAAAGGAATTAATAAACTCGATTAAATATTGAACAAAAAATATTTTTACGAACTAAAAGCCTAAAAATGTTACAGTTGAAGTTTGAATCTGTTTATTTATGAACGAAATCCATTCTTCTTGTTTTACTTTGCGCGGCGAGGTGTTAAAACCGTGGCGGCACTGTGTTTGTGACAGTGACCCCCTTCTAACTTGTGTGCAGCTTCTCATCTCGGACTTGTGCACATGCTCACAGCAGCCACAGTCGCGTCACTGGAACTGTTAAACTCACAGTTCCATGGAAGGAGTTTGCAATTTTAACCCCGGAAACTAGAGGATAGCTACAGCCATTGGGCTTTAGGGTTGTATAATGTATAAGTGGAAAGAAAGAAAGAAAGGACATATTAAATGTTATCGATAATAACTTTTGAAAATAGAGGGTACTGCAGTCCCGTAATGTCTATATACGATCTGTCATTGCTTTATTTACACAATAGACAATGTAAAATTAAGTACACGTACGCACACTCTCTTCAACCCATAAAGTTTACGCTCAGCTCCAGGGCTATAGAAAATGTATCTGGTGCTCCTTCCTTTATGATGCCATAAGCGCGTGTTGGTGTGCTTACTAGTTAATCCGGCCCTGACTAATTTTATGGTGGCCCTCTTCCTTTGTAATACCCTAAGCACGTGTTGGTGTGCTTACTGGTTAATCCGGCCCTGACTAATTTTAATCGTCTGTGTGGCTTAGCGCAACAATGTTTAACAGTTTCAGAATCCTCGGAATACTAGAAATCGATTTTCGCGGCAAACGGTTTATTTTATTTAAAAAACAAACACAATACCATTCGTGTTTTCAGTCACGAGAGTCGTCCCGTAGAAAAGAAAGAAAATGTTACATTGTAAATTACCGTTTTAATTTTTTTTTCAAATGTAATATAACGATTTTTAATCGGTATTTACTGTGATTTCTTACATTGAAATCTGTTACGAAGTCATGTCATGAGAAACAGAAAACTGGAGTGCATCGTGACAGTTTGAAAATTGAACGGAAAAGAAAAGCAAAGGGAGACAAAGAGAAGATGCTGGGTAGTTTGACATCACGGCATGGATGATCATCTGTGCCAGAATTGATTGAAACAACATGAGACGAGGTTGTAGATAGGCATGTCTACCAACGCCAGGAAATATATAAGCAGACGAGGAAATCAACCACTTGACTTGCTTTGCTAAAAAAAAAAAAAAAAAATCCTAACGTTCAGACATCTTCGCCGAAGGTGGAGGGAGCTTTTGGTTGTAACTGTGACTAGGTTTATGTGCGCTATATAAAATGGCTTAGCATGGCTCGCCACCAAGCAGTCCTGAAAAGGACTTTTGCTGTGTTGATACTCATACGCTTTTGTATACACACACATGCATATATACTCGCGCCAACGCGGAGATGCATGCACCTGTGTTTGCATACCCACATGTTTATGCCTGCACACGTACACTCAATGGAGACGTGGACCAGACGCTCGCCTGTGGATCAAAAGTTATTGGGTTCAGATCCCGACGAAACCAGTTTCCAACACCCCCCACCAGAAGGAAAAAAAAAGTCCATAATTGTTTGTTTTAGAGCGACCCAGCCTAAACGCCTAACTGAAGTGTGTAAGAGCTTATATAAATGAAGTAAAAGTATACGAACAAAAGCAGGTACATCGAAACCTTTTGAAGTAAATTCAGGAGTAAGACATGGATGTGTTTGCTGTCTCCCCTGCTTTTTGTAACATTCGTTGACAATATATGCAAAGAAGCAGATAGCGAACAAAAAAAAAAAAAAATAATGATATCTCAGAATTGTTATTTGCAGATGACCAAAAAAAAAAAAAAAAAACTGACTGTCACCCAAAAATAACAATAAATGATGAAGAAATTAAAAATGTCACAAACTCTGAATATCTAGCTTCTGTAATAAACAGCAATAGAGACTGTTCGACAGCTCTTCATTCCAAAGTCAGAATCAACTCAGAGCTGTTTGATTTGACAAGCGAAACAGGAATTTAGTCATTGTTTCGCTTAATAAGTTAGAAGAAACACCGGTGAAAGCAAATCGTTACAGGTCGCTGATTGAATTACAACAGGCAATGCAGTTCATACTAGAGACAACGTTGCAGATATAGATAATCGAATTCAGGCGAACGAAAGAAAAGACATAGGCGCGTCTTGGTCAGTTTAGGGTGTTTCATCCTTTAACTTATAATTTTTTTTATACATTTTTTTTTACGTGTCCTGCAATCCTTCTTCTGTCTTTTGTCAATGTCTGCTTATGCCGCTAGGCGTCGCAGTTCATCAGGCGATCGGCAGCCGAGCCAGGGCGCGCTCAGCCACTTGATATGCCGTGATGTTAGGCAGTCTCAAGGTGTCAGTGACTCCTCCAATCCATGTTTTCTCAGTCTTCCCCTGCCTCCTAATGTTTCGATTTGCAGGTTGTGCGCTCTTGCTGCTGGCATCGTTGGTTTCATTCTCATTAGATGGCCAAACCATTTCATTCTTTGTTCCCTCAATGAATTTGACGATGGGTGTTGTTCCTACAGTACTTGTGATCATGTCGTTCCTCACTCGATCGCTTCTGGTTTTATTCACAGCCATTCTCAAACATTTGTCTGACATTATTAACCTAAAGGGTATAAATATTGTCTTTATAATTTGTCTTTTTGTCTCTTTTAGGATAGCAGGGTGTGGGGTAGCAGGGTGTGGGATAGCAGGGTGTGGGATAGCCGGGTGTTTTAAAATTGGAGCAAGTGGGTACGTGACATTGTTGGCTTGTTGGATTCTCGTGTCTATCTGTCTGTCTATTTTACCACTGTATGTAAAGATGCTTCCCGAGTATTTAACGTATTACGTATTTTTTTTTAAACACCAGGTATATTTACTGCTCTTGTCATACAGGCTTGTTAACGTATAATTTTCTCTCCCCCCCCCCCCACCCCGCGGCCCCTTTCTTCCCCATTTTCTTTCTGTTAATGTATCAGGGATTTTCCACTTTCTGTTTGTACAGCTGGTACTTATGTACTTTGTAATACTAGAAGACTTTTTTGTTAACGCCACTAGCGCATCGGCCATGATGGTTGGCTCATATATATATAAGACCAGGTGACACACCGCCCGCCTTTACTTTCCGGGATATACCTAATATCTGTTTAAAGCTGGATTGACTTGTGAGCCAAGGTGAATATTGACACACACAAAATCCGCCTCAATGAGGATTCGAACCCAGGACAGTCAAACCGTCAGGTGAGCGTCTAGCTCTAGCAATTGTTACTTTAAACTGATGACATTTGTTTCTGAAGAGGTTAAAGTAATAGACAGAATCTATCTTTTGCAACGGGGATGGGAAAAAGCTCGTCCCTGTGAATGGAAGCAAATTATGAGCAATCAGCGGATTCTTCCTCAAAGTCCCTG